TTATTATTATAAGATGGACGGGTTTTGTGGCTTGAAGGGTTGATCAGGCTGTTTCTTCACACCCATGCATAGCTAGAGGAGATTTCAATTGGTCACGTCAAAAAAAAAAAAAAAAAAAACAGTAAAGAAAGATACCATTGAGATGAATATAGTGAATTGGAGAGCAATATTTTAAGAAAGGAGGAAGCAAAGAAGGCTGAATAAGATAGTGAAAGATCAACAAGAGCTGGAAAGCCAACAGAAAGAAAACAAATATTAAACGAAAAATACTGGAGATTTCTCATGTAAACATTACAGAATTATGTTTACATTTAAAGTTTATAAGATTTAAAATTTCTTTTTTTTACAATCAACCTTCCGAAGCAGCTTATAGAATGTATCATTAAAAAACCATCATGTTAAACCGGTCATTAATAATTTAAGGATACTATCCTTGACGAATAATAGAGACAAAACTAAAACCATATATCTGACCGGAATTGAACAAAACGTTTTACATATATATATACTAATTTAAACTGCTAATAAAACTAAGTCTCGAAAGATTCGATAAAGACAAAGAAGATGAGATGTCTAATTTTAAGTAAATAGCTGGGTAGATAAATAAGCCGATACGATGAACAAAGTATTTGTATGTAACTGTATCTGCTTATGCTGTCCCTAGTTTTCAACGATACACGATAAGATCTTCGAAAGTGCATTTGAATGAACTAAGCACAGTTTTAGTACGAAATGGAAATTTGCTGACCTTGGTATTTCTTAAGTGTGTAGATATTGTTGAAAGACACAAATGTCATCACTGACCTTTAGATGAAGTGAATCCTTGAAACAAAGGTCAAGGACACGGAAGATTTTAATTCATGACAAAACTCATTTTTTTCAGCTGATGGAGTCTGTTGGGCAGAGTCCAGTTTGGAGATATTGCAGCAGTTTTTTAATCGACGCGAAGTGGGCCGTTCTGCTCTGGAAAGTTGGATTGGATCAGTGAATTTATGGACATTAGATTTCAAATGAAGCATGGTTTAATTTTGTATTTGTTTTGGTTTCCTGAACTTCTTTAAATGATAAAGTATTCCCTATGTAGCTTGCATACGTCTTTCTAAAGCGGCTTTCATAGTGCGGCTAGGACTCGCAATTTCTTTTCATTGGAAAGGGAATTTCTTATATGAGGGATTTCGTTATAAAATATGTTATTGTTGAACTTAGGAACTTTATATTATCTTAATTCAAAGGCATCTCTCCATCATCATTGAAATGTGCAGCTGAACAATTTTCATGGTTCATTATTACTCATTTATTTTAAAAAAATTTAGTTATATTACTAATGCACGGTGCAATGTAACCAGGTTGCGGTGTGGTCCAGGGACCAGGGTGCGCTGAAGTGCCAAGTCTTTCCCTAACTGAGGGTGCCCACTTTACAGAGGCTAGGCGTGTTTCCGTGGCATCTCTCTACCACAGGGCCCGGGGGTGTCCAGAAGGGGGTTTCATCGTCCCTGCCAGAGCCTATTCTCAAGTGAGGTAAACTAATAAAAGAACTTTACCTCATAGCCGTTCTATGGACCCAGACTTTATCCAAAACTAGTTTATTGATTTAGGGCTGTGGAAGCTGAGCCTTATATAGATGATCAGGTGATTCAATGTGGCTGGTATTTTTTGTTTTGTTTTTATTCAAGGAACTAAAGTAAACTAACAAAGGAACAGGTTTCCCACCCATTGGAGTTAAACTTTCAAAAGGTAGTCATCTTGATATTCTGAAAACAATTTCATAATCTGGATTTTTAAAAGACATCTAATTTGCATAGTTTGGGAAGTGGTTAAGTATATGTGTAAAAAGCCGGTTCCCTTCTGATTCTTATGACCTGTATCTGATTGATTTAACTTGTTCTGCGGCAGAAGTATATGAATATTTAAACTAAGTCCAGAACAAAAACAGTCATCTCTTATTCCCTCTATCCATTTACGTGATTCTATTAAAGTATAGGCCTTTCAGATTTGGATATATTCAATTAATCGCATATATTCAATTAAATTTATAATTTCTTAACAGATTGGTTTGTAACAGTGGAAATAGGGGAAAAAATATTGTGTTTTCCGTCGATTCATATATATAATCCCTTATATTGGTGAAATAAAAGTGATAATTCTTATAAGTAAATAGAGTATTATTCTCTGATCACAATCGATAACCAAAGTTTCATCAACTGAGACGTCTCATGAATTAAAAGTCCAAGTTGCGTCACATTACTGATTACCAAGTTTATCCCCAAAACATCTTTTATCTTGACATATAGTAATATGTTGAGTCGATAGACTCAGGGCAAATCTTATGATTATCTATCAAAAAGCAATCTCCATATTTTTTAATCCTTCAGAAATCTTTTTCATATTTCCAAATTATATCCATTCCATTGAGTATATCCCACAGTATCTCATGTAGTATATCTCATTGAGTATATCTCATGAGATACTCATGCATGTTCCTATCAAGAGCGGATCCAGGTATAGTTATTTTTTATTAATTTTAAAAAATAAGGGAGTCGCTATCAGGGTGACCACATAATTTGCGAGAAATATTACCTTGACTAAGGAATAAATAGTGATAAATCGATTATCAAACTATTTGAAGTGAATTCCTTAGGTATAGACTAAGCAATAAATTAATTTAATTGATGCATCGCCAACCATCGATTTCTCCGAAGGTGAGTATTATTTTTTTACAATTTCCTTTTTACAATCTGATTATTAATAATAGATATATTTTAAAATGACGTATTTCTTTTTCCTCAATGATTGTTGTTGGTGTGGAAGTTCTCCTTTTTTTTACCCTAGGAGCCACAGGTGGTCCCTAACTTAGTTAAATTTTTAGCTTTTTCGATAAAAGTAAGGTAAACAAGGTGTTTAATTGTTTACATTCATATTCATCATAAAATGTATTATAACTTTTCGATTTTTTACAGCATGCTATTGGTCTCTGTAATCATTTGTTTTGAATAAGCTGATGTTTTGAATAAAAACAAAGTTATAAATAACTAAATTTAAAAACAAAATCTTAGTAAGTGGGGCCCAGAACGGATAAATAAAACATCAAAATAAAAAAATATCCTATCATCTTTATCTATTTCCATTAGCATGTTTATTGTTTCTAATCATCGGTTGAATAATTAGTCTAACGAATAAAAGTTTTTTTCTGATGGTATTGCAGACCTTCTAGATCTTTTGCGCCTTACCCAACCTTCTCCAACTCTGTTTATAGTGGTATCCGGCCTAATATTGAATTGAGGCATTCATTGTTGTTTAGAGATTTCCTGATGGATTGCTCCGAGCTGCTAAATACACCACCCATCTTAACTATCTTGCCTTTATGTCATGAGATATCGATTGACCAGTTTCAGTAAGCAGTTCTTTATTGGCCTTTCTCCTCCATGCCTTAGTACTCTGATCCCAGATCGCTCCGGTTATCGTGTGGAAGATTTTTCTCTCAAATCATTCAAATACCTCTTTTTAGAGTGGTATAGCATTGCACACCCTTAATTTCCAATTTCTTGAGATTTTTTGGGATTTTGATGCCAAGAGAGAAGAAAGCTCTTTTTCCATTCGTTAGAATCCGGTTTATTTTCTAGCGTTGGCCATTCATTGCGGATCCCAGGTATTTTAATTTAACTACTCTCGGGATCGATTTCTCTTCTGCTCAAATCCTGTTATTGGGGTGGAAATATTTTGTTTTATCTTCATTTACTTGAAAGACAATTGCTCTGCTTCTCTTATCAGAATCGTTTCTCAATTTCCTCTTGGTTGCATCTAGCGACTGCTATATAATCTGCATATCCAAGAATTTCATAACTCTTTCCGCTCCTACTATTTTCACGTCATGTTCTTATCACATTATCCTGTACAAAATCGGCGAGAATCTTCTGCCGTAAGCCAGTTCGAACTAGCAAAAGATGAGGAAAAATTTAATGAATTTATTTATTTTAACGTTAAAAAAAAGAAGCGTTTATAGCAACAAGGTACTATTTGTACGATGCATTACCAACAGCAAATCAAATAAATAATAAATAAATGTATTCTTCCATGTTTTGGCTAGTTAATAAATTGATATTTATTAGTTAAATTTTACTAATTTTATTCATTGAATAAGTTCAGACATTCAAAGAAAGATAAAAAATAAATAAAAAGTTCTTTTCAGATAAAATAAGAAAAATTATATTTATGTTTACGAAATTTCTTCAATCGACTTTTGAGTATTATATTTTAACATGATTATTTAAACTGTGAAATAGGCCACTTAATAATTATTCCATAAACTACAAAATGTTCATTGATCCTGCTTTTTTTTTTAACAGTTAACAATAGGATCCTCTTTAATGTTTTAAAATATAGCCTGGATACCTGAGGCCAGGGACACACCGACCACTAGCGCAGGTATTAAGCTACTGGGTTGTCGGTGCGTCCCTGGCCTCAGGTATCCAGGCTATATTTTAAAATATTGAAGAAGAACCCATTGTTAAAAAAATAAAATAAATAAATAAAGAACATTTTGCAGTTTATTGAATAATCATTATATATATATTACAATAAGTTAACCATTCAATTTTTTAAAAAGATATCCTCTGCTGTAGGGTCCCCTTAGTAAGTGAGGTCTGAGTTAGAATCCGCCCCCCCCCAATTACGCCACTGGATGGGCTTCTTCCATCTTGCTGTTTGTACATCTCTGATAGTAAATGACTACTTCTCTGAAATAATAGCTCCTCATTTCTAATCTTTCATATTAATAAGCTCTACGATTATCAATCTCATAATTCATTCGTAAGAACATAAAACGCCAAGAGATTTATTGGTTCGTGCCCATCATTTAGTAATGAATTTTTCGAATACGGAAGTTTATTGGGGGGTAATTTCGTGGTTGAGAGATTTTATTGAAGCACTGCTCATTGTCTTGGGCTGTAATAGCGTTAGTTGATGCCTGAGGCGGTTCCTGATAGTTTGGATGTTTTGGTGAAATGCAGAATTATATTTACAATAATTGTATGAATGATGATTCTGTTTATGAAATTCTATCATCATCTGGTTATTCATCAATTGTGTCGATAGTAAGTAACTTTTAAAAAAGTTATTAGATTTAACGATTTGTAACATAAAAGTGAATTCAAGTTGAACAACTAGTCATAGATGTTTTTATTTTTACGAAAAAAGTCATACCATAACATCCTTCTTACCAAATTGCAAAATCTTCCTATATCCAACAGTGTCCTACGTTGGTTCAAATCCTTCCTTTCCGATCGATCCCAGTATGTAGTCGTCCCAGATCAACCTCCTTCAAAGACACTTCCCCTCTCCTGTGGTGTCCCTCAGGGTTCCTCCTTGTCTCCTACTCTGTTTGCTATTTACATTAATGACCTTCCCAGCCAGATCCATCACTCCCAATACCACATCTATGCTGATGATTTCCAAATATACCTTTCCTTCCCCCCTTCCGACCTATTAGCCGCCACAAAAAAGCTTCAAGAAGATTTAAATAGAATATACGACTGGGCAGAAGTTAACAAGTTGAAGTTGAATGCGAAAAAGACCAAGGCAATCCTAATAGGCTCCAATCACCTCTTCAAAACTGTTCCTAACTTTCTAACCCTCTTTTTACATGATAATCCCATTAAATTTTATCCCATCATCAAAAACCTTGGAACAATCTTCGATCAAACCCTTACCTGGAAAAACCATGTGTCCAATATCTCCCGACGTACCTTTTCCACACTTAAATAGCCTGCGACACCTTTTTGCTTTTGAAATCCGTAGACTCCTGGTCACCTCATTAATATTTCCCCATTTCGACTATTGCTGCACGGTATATGGGGGCGTCTCTGGGGATCTCGAGGCGAAACTAAAACGTTTGATAAATTGCTTCATACGATTCATCTTCGGGATCCCAAGAGACACTCCTGTTTCCTGTTTCTATGAAGAGTTGAAGTGGTTTTATCCTTTCAACCGCCGCAAGTATTTCCTGGCATCCTTCCTCTTCCAAGTAATTCACTCCCGCCGTCCTTCATACATCGCCGAGCTCCTTCAATTTAAATCCTCTGTCCACTCCCGCAACACCCGTTCCCGGTCCTCATATCTATATATAATGGCCCACCGAACCGCTGCTTTCGATAAATAATTTGTTATTCGATCCTCTTCCCTATGGAACTCCATCCCTCCCCACATCCGTCAATACAAAACCCTTCCTACCTTTAAATCCCAACAGTTTAATCATTCCTTATCCATCCAGTCCTCATCATAAGATTGTAAATAGTTACTACTGTAAATATGTATATAAATTATTAGACCGTTCTTTATTATTTTTACTTCATGTTCATTTTCAATTTTTTATTTTTATTATTAACTGATGTAAATTAGAAAGTAACTTATAATTTCTCTAAATATTTTTTTATTTTATTTTATTTTTTTTACTATTTAATCAAACTATACTCTTGTTTATGTATCTCGAGGCTCCTTAGCCCACATTTTTGTTTCTCTGTATTATTCTAAAGGGACTCGTCCCAGAATAAATAAAGCATTATTATTATTATTTCCATTCTTTATTCTCGCTTTGCGGGGTAAGTTTCTGAGGTGAGAGACCAGAAGTCCAGCCACTTCAGATTAATATCTATTACTTTTTAGATATTTAAAAACTTTCGAACAATACGTGCCGTATCCAAGGGAACCGAGTGTTGAGCCTCTTTCAGCACTTCAAGAGGTAATTTTAATCCCATCGTGCCTGCCACTGTTTTCTTTGGTATCAATCCATTGGAGGATATTATAATTGGGGTGGTGGTGACGTTCCCCAAATGATACAATTCCTTCAGTTCGATTGCCAATTCCTGGTATTTTCTCAGTTTTTCTCCAACAGTGGAGCTTATATTATTATCATTGGGGATCCCGACATCAATAATCTCTGCTCTTTTCTCTCTTTTCTTATTATTATTATTAATTAATTTTCACGCATGGTAGATCACAATCGTTTATAGATTAAGGAACTTCACTTGACCCATAGAATTTTACAGCCAGGCCAATAGATTTTCATTTTTATTAACTTGGTAGGCAATAGATTATTAACATGAATAAAATAGTTTTTCAAAAATATTGTTTATCGAATTCTAAAATAACTATTTTGTAATGCCGTGCTTTGCTTCATGACAGTTAAGTATCAAAACTGTTAATTAAAAAAACGAAAATAAAAAAAAAATAATTGAAGAGAAGGATGATTGGGATGATCAGTCAAATAAAATATGGCAAAAATAAATAATAATATTTATTTTTACATTTGCCGACTTTTCGGCCCGAAGGTCAGGCCTTCATCAGGGCTGAGAAAAGAACCATTTGAACAATATGACCATATAACAATATGAACTAGATGAAGGCCGAAACGTTCGCAAATGTAAAAATTAATATTACTATTCATTTTTGACATTTTCTATTTTACTGATCACCCCAACAATCCTTCTCTTCAATTATTCACTACAGTCAACCATCAGCCCACAATTAATAAAAAAAATTAAAATGGATTTGGCTGCTTATGGAATTTTTCTATTTCTAGTATTTTTACTTTCATATAGCCTATATATGAAATATATAGTAAGGAAAACATTTTCGAATCTGAGTTTTCAACGGAAATACATGTTTTAAGGTTCCCTGCGTCGAAATAACCGAGTCCCGCAAAATGGTCTGTGTGTATGTGTGTGTGTGTGTGTGCTAACAGTCTAGCTCAAAAACAAAAAGTCGTGCGAAAGTGAAATTACATATTTAAGGTTTTTCTATGCTTGGGATGTTATAGCAACTTTTTCCTCAAAATCAGATTACCGGAAAGAACAGTTTATATCGTGGACTAAACATATTTTTTACGATTTTCTGGAAAACGGCTCTAACGATTTTGATTGAATTCATTATATCAGTGTAAAATTAAGCAGTTTTAAATAAAATGTAGGTTTTATTCTGATTGATGTTCTCTAACAGGGCTTAAATGGCTAATTTTTAATATTAGCTTCCCTTAAAGTACCTTTAATTTTCTTTTATTTGGAACAATTGACCATTCCACATTAATCTCTAATATAAAAGATAGTTAAATATAAAATATGAAAGAATTTGATAATTAACTAAAGGAGAAAAAAAGAGATCGTAACGGAGAATAGTTTTAATTGAGGAACAAAAGGAATACGAGCGCACCCGAGCTCGCCCGAAAGATTAGAACAAGCTTCCATACGTGACCTGAGCTTAATATAATAAGGACTGTGACAATACTATGTAAATATACATATGCGGTTTTCATAAATGCTATTGTTAGTATTATTTAATATTTAATTGTATAGATTACAGCGATATAAATATTAAAATTTGTATATATAAGGGTACTTATACAAATAATAATAACCACAATGAAATATAAATATATATAGCATTTATAATTTTTAATTTCACTTTCCCTTTGTATGAAAATACTCTTTCTTTTAAGAAGAGGGTATGTGAAAGTTGTGTGATGCGCGCACCGCATCAGATTTTTGCGTTTCCAATACTCAGTCTCTACACCAACTCCTTACTTCTCCGTGGTATTAGTCTTCAATACTGTTTAATTATTTTTACTTAACGATTGTTATATTCTAATTTTCATAATAAAATTTTAAAAAAAAATATTTTCTGTCTAAACCAGTGTATAGTTAATTTTGTAAAGTCTACGGTTAAAACATAGTAAAATTAATTTTCGTATTTGTTTATATTGACACTAGAACAAGTGATTTGACCAGGTTATGGAATGTACATGGACCAAGACTTGAAAAAGTGTTGTAAACGGTTCCAGTAACTTTCCCTCTTTTGTTTCTACTTAATTTCCATTCTTACCTTTTTTTTATTTCATTTTTGAAGATAAAAAGAAAAGGTTAGATTTGAGCGATTGTTGGAATTAAAATTTTAGCCAGTGCAGAAAAACGTTGATATTTCCTGATACACAAATGGTTTAGAGAAAGGACAAGTTTGCTTTAACTGAAACGGTTCTTGTTACATAAAACTCCTTGACCACTCTCCATTTTACCAGCTAATCCGAATCAATTACTAAGGGTTCTTAAGTTGTTTTTTTGGAATTTTTTATATTGTGTCGTTTGTTTTTTTTATTTTTTATAGTTGTTCTCTTTTATTACAAAAAATAATCACAATGTCGATTTAAATTAATAATATATTAATCCAGCTTACACAGGCTATCTCAGTCCTGAATATCCAAACTTTGGTTATGATATTTTTTAAACTTTTTTACTTTATTGTGTAATAACGCTTATCACCAGAAACAAAATAATTTGATAGGTTTGAGGTATAAAGTTAAACTTCTTTCGAGATTTGTTTAATCTTTGAATTTTTATTAGAAAAAATATTCTGCGTATGGTAGGTACATAATTTTTGTACGTCAAATAAAAACACACATAAAAAAAATTTATCAAAAACGACCTAGTATACTCCACGTAATTAAGCATGGATAATAATTAATTAAAAACAATACAAAACAGGATTAACTGTTACAAAAGTAATGGAAATTCGGGATGACCGTGTTTAAAATGAACCAATTCCGGTGTCCAAGGGAATTAAATTTTCATAATGTCTGTGCGCATTAGCTTAGTATGAATAATAGCTAAAAACCTGATAGATATTGCATGTACAAATTCCAAAGATCTAACGTCCTTCATTAGGGACTTGAATTTTTTTTTGGAAGATCTAGGTAACCTGAGAGGTAATTAGATTTACAGAAGATTCAAAACAAATCCCTAAACATAATATTGGGTTGGAAAATGAGTCCTTTCGGTTTTATTTTTATTTTTGTCATTCATGTCACTATGATACACTTCTTATCTGATGAATTAATCCCTAAGGTGGATTGTTTATCATGTTTGTAATATATCAACAACTATATCTGTTAACTCTTGTTGAAACTAGCTTAGTATTGTGTTTGCTATTGCACTGTGAATATGGAAGAAAATATCATTTACTATCGGAATATTTTTTTGTATCAATATTAATAAAGGTAAGCGTGCTGCAGAAGCTCATAGAAAAATTTGCAGTGTTTGTAGGGATGATG